TCTTCTGTGTCTGTGTTAATTGGTTTCCCTTTTCTTTGTTGAAGAGGGTCTGTGCAATCCTTCTGCCTAGTCCGCCATCTTGCCCCGCCTCAAGTACTTCAACTCTAGTAATCTTAAAGGAGTTTAGGAGACAGAAAGGTAACCAATTAGATTTATGAAGTGAGAGAAGGATGATACTCCTATCTCAGCTGATGGGTGGAGTCATTTCTAGAAGATGGGAATGTAGGAGAGGGAAAGGCAGCAGTTGTTTTTGGAGGCAAAGAATGAAGACTTCAGTCTGGTGTCTGAATTTAAAGTGTATATGGGACTCATAGGTGGAAATTTCCAATAGACAACTGGCAATAGGAATTCAGAGCCTGGGAGGGTTGTCTGTGTTGAGGTGGCTTCAGTGGGCATTGGAATCATTCTGGGTTTTCTTGACATTGGAGGGTCTAGAGTCTTTACTGTTCTAACATTAAGTACTGTCACAATGTTCTGACCTGTATTTCCTTGTCTGCTCCACAAAGCTACTTGGTGAAAGCCTATTATCTTTTTATTTTAGGATGTTTACCTTTTGCCAGGTTGAAATTTGTTGTTGTTAAGTGCTGTCAAGTCGGCTCCAACTATAGCGACCCTATGTACAACAGAACGAAACACTGCCCAGTCCTATGCCAGCCTCACGATCCTTGCTATACCTGAGCCCACTGTGGCAGTTACTGTGTCAATCCTTCTCACTGAGAGCCTTCTCCTTTTTCCTTGACCCTCCACTTTACCAAGCATGATGTCCTTCTCCAGGGAATGGTTGAAATGAGATCTGTGAAATTCTGGGATGTGGTGGTGTGACCTGTATGTTCAGAAGTTAAATAAAGATGGGGATCCTTTAGTGCCCATGAGCAGTGCCACAGAGACCAAAAGGTCCTAGAAGGAGAAACTTTAGAACAAACATCTCTCAGGTTCCGTGAAGGTCCAGTTTTGAAGGAAAAAAACAAGATGACAGGATTGAAAATCAGTGCAGTAGGATTAGGGTGTGGAGAAGTTCTTTAGGTAGGTGATCAGAGAAGGGCTATCTGAGGAAGTACCTTTGAGTGTAGGCTTGAAGAATGAGAATGAGCCAACCTGGAAAATACCTAAGTGAAGTGAGTTCTCCACAGCCACTAACCCCACAGCCACTAGTTGACTTCAACTCATAGTGACTCTATAGGACAGAGTAGGACTGCCCCATAGAGTTTCCAAAACTATAAATCTTTATGGAAGCAGACTGCCTTATCTTTTTTCTGCAGAGTGGCTGGTGGGTTCAAAACCACTGACTTTTTGATTAGCAGCCGGCTGCCTTAACTGCTGCACCAATACAAAGTGTCTGAGCTGGGAAATGCCTTGACACAGAGAAGAGAAAGGAGGCCACTGTGGCTGGAGGGTAATGACTGGGGTGTGTGTGTGTGTGTGTGTGTGTGGCGATGTGAGGTGGTAAGTAGTGTGAGATGAGTTTGGAAAGGAATTTAGATTTTTGTATTAGAACAATTGGAAGCCAGTGAAGCATTTTAACAAGAAAGTGTCAAAGTCTGATTTATTTTTCCTGATTAGTATATAGAGAATGGGTTGTACAGAGACAAGAGCAGGAGTCTGTGGAAATGATGGTGGCTTAGACTATCATGGTGGTAGTAGAAGTGGAGTGAGAAGTGAGTGGTTTAGAAATATATCTTATCCTGACAGGATTTGCTCATCTATTTGGTGTGGAAAGGTAAAGGAGATGGAGGAACCAAGAATGACTGAGATTTTCAGCTTGAGTAACTGGGTGATGGCGGTGCCTTTTGCTGAGATAGTACAGATGGAGAACAGGTTTAGAATTGTGAAAAAGGAGTGGCAGGAGCGCCTGACCTCTGACTTCACAAGGGGAAAGGAGAATCAAGATCAACAGCCCAATGTTGATTCTTACAAGGTGGTCATACATATTTCCTCTCCAACCTTTTTACCGAATCTGACATAGCCATCCTTCCCATGTCACTCTTTACTTCTCTACTGGGTTTTATAATTCATTTTAATGGCCTTATAGAACTCACAGACAATACTTACGATGGTGGGTTTTTTTTTTTAGGGAACTAACAGGCTACAATTCAGGATCAGAAATGGCTCAGGATACAGTTCTTTAATCAAGACAGCCTCTTCTTGCCCTTTGCTACTGAGCCCTGCTTGAAACCTTCTCTGGCAAGTGTCACAAAGTTCTTTAGCTCCACCACCAAGTGCCTGGAGGCACCCCACTCTGTCAGCCAGTTTCCGGCCCGAAGGTGCTTAGTTCTTTCGCTCTGTGGGCCAGGAAGGCCCACTATGCCATCTCCTGCCAGTCTCCTGGTTCTGCTGCTGCTGGATCTCAGCTGTGGTTGCTGCCACTCCTCCTGTCTTGTGCCATCTCTAGTGCCTGTCTCTGCTTTCTGCCTAAGTGCAGGAACCCTGGGTCCAAAGAAGGCACTTCGCTCCCTGCCCTTCTTTCTTGGTGGAAGTGAGGTCCACCATTTCTACCTCTGGGATGGCTCACTTTAAGCCTAGCAGCATGGCAAAACTGCCCAACCCTCTCGTTAAGATGCCTTCTACTTTATTTGCATGGTCTAACCCCCACAATGGTATCATATACCTTATTTATATTATCAGCAAATTGTCCAATCCCCTTGGTGGGCTATAAGCACCTTATTTGCATAGTTCCACCCAGTTTTTTGGTGGGAGTTGCAAAACCATGGCTAGAAAGGCCATATAAAAGTGATTCATTGCACCACAAGAGTGCAGGGGAGTTGGTGTACATTGGGAGCTGCATTGTGGGCATATCATGTTAGTGACATCTGGGTGGCGATAGTAGGCAGTTGCGCATAAGAGTCTGGAGGTCAGGAGAAATATGCAAATATAAATGCCAGTATATAGATGGTATGCAAATATAAATACCAGTATATAGATGGTATTTAAAGCCAAGGGATCAGGGAGATTGTACTTAGAGGAAAGAAGGATTTCTAGGATTAAGCCTTGAGGTAACTCTAAGATTTAGAATAGAGCTTCTTAACCTAGGGACCCTTATAAAAAATTCGGAGTTTCAGGAAGTTGGATGGGGAAAAAAATTACACTTTCATTTTCATTAACTTATAACTGAAATTTAGCATTTCTTCAATTATGAACGTATGTAACAACCAGTAGCATCAGAAATACTTGTGGCTTTGTAATCAGTGGAAATTGCTGATACAGCCATATCATATTAGAGTGATCGATCACAGGTATCTCAAAATACCCTTTATGCTAGCCTTACTTCACAACTTTGGTAATTGTTAGACCTACTACTCCATTTTATTTTTTTTATACACTAATAAAGAAGCAAAAGGAGCCCTGGTGGCACAGTGGTTAAGCTCTCAGCTGCTAACCAGAAGGTTGGCAGTTCAAACCCACCAGCTGCTCCTTGGAAAAAAGATTAGGCAGTTTGTTTCCATAAAGATTTATAGCCTTGGAAACCCTATTGGGCAGTTCTCTGTCCTGTAGGGTTGCTAGGAGTTGGAATCATCTTGATGGCAAGGAGCACCTTCATAAAGAAGCACATGCATTACTATATTGTAAATTGGTTTTTAAAGCATTTTCTTAAGTATATTTCAATTGGTTTCTTTGGTAATCCTGTCTGTTTTAAGTTTAATGTATTGAACAACATTCAGTAAAGGCCCCATAGACTTCATCAGACTCTCAGAGAGGGTTCATAACACCAAAAAGGTTAGGAACCACTGACATGCTTACTTATGCAGGGAGAGAGAAAGGCTGGAAGAGGATGTTGGGTGGAATGAAAACATTCTTTTAAAGATCATGTCTCAAATGCTGAGAGGGAGAAGTTGAAGCTGTTGGAGAGAGAAAAGGATCAATAAAACCAGGCCTGTGTAGTTGTGTGGGGCATGGTGATCTGGAGCACAGATGGAGGGCTTAGGTGTGGATCAGAGGGGAAGGAGAAGGCATCTCAGCCTTTCAGTCTGAGGAAAGGATGGGGACAGGTGGGGTCTGGAGCCCAGGTCACCTGCTGAGAGTGAGGTGGTAGAATAAGGGGCTTGAGGAGTCGACATATTTCTTAACAAGTAATTCTCGAATGTTTCCTGAAAGTTAGGCATTGTGCTAAAACTTGGGATATAAAGATGAGTAAGACATAATCCTTGCTCCCAAATAACTATACCTTCTGGAGAAGGATATAGACATAGAAATAAGCTCAGAAAAGAAAGCACTGGATTTGGTCTGAGGTTGGAAGCTGGAAGAGGAGGTCAGCAAAGACTTCCCAGTAGCCTGGCATTAGCAGCAAAGACTTCCCAGTAGCCTGGCATTTGGACAGATTCAGAGGATGAGTGTAAGATTGCCAGGAAAACTGGGAAGGGAGAAGGGAGAACATTAGCAATAGCATTGACAAGCATGTGCTTGGACAAGCATGGACAAGCAGTGCTAACTTTTAAGAAAACTTTTTATTGAAGTATAGTAAAGTATGTACATTCATACAGTAAAGTATATTCATCATAAGTATTTAGCTGATGAATTTTCACAAAGTGAACACTCCCATGTGATCAGCACCCAAATCAAGAAACAGAGCATGACCAGCAAGCAAGACTAATGTGGAGCAGAAAGAGTAGAATTGGGAGAGGAGCTGGTGGGGTGTGCAGGTCTTCCACATTGGGTTGTGGGACTGGGAGAGGGAAGGAGAAGCTGTGGGACTGCAGACATAGCCATGGCAGGGTTCTGCCTTGACAGCTCAGTAGGGGAGGGTAACTGTATTCTATCGTTCTGCAAAATGACTATATGACGTTGTAAAATGTAATTAAGGACACTATGTTCACCTTATTTAGAAGACAGAACTCTAATAAAGGATTGTTTATTTCACTCTGTACATTTGTGAGATTATTGGGGTTCATAAATGCCTCATTTGAAGGTTAATTTGTTTTCTCCATTTTCTTTTTTTATTTAGGGATATTATGTGCACCGTGACATGTTAGGAGAAAAAGGAGACTTCATTACTTCACCTGAAATCAGTCAGATCTTTGGGGAGGTAATATCCAATAAAAGAAACTATAGTATTATAAACCTTTGAGAACAGATCAAGTGATATTATTCTATGTTTTCCAGCTTTTTTATGTATGATTCAACAGAAATTTTAATGTTATGGTAATTTGTGTACTGAGGGAATTTATGTACTGAGAGGCAATAAAGGGAAGAAAATGATAGAGAAGACATTTGAAAAGTTTATTTTTTGCAGTTGTTAGGTGCTGTCAAGTCAGTTTCAACTTATAGCAGCTCTCTGTACAACAGAACGAAATACTGCCTGGTCCTGCGCCATCCTCACTAGCTTTGCATTTCTATCTGCTCTAAGAAGTTCTTTTAGAAGGATCAGCACAAGGCTGGTGCCTATGAGGCAGGGGTTAAAGGTGTCCCAAATGTCCAGCTTTTCCAAACTGCTGTTCCACTTCATCATCTCTGACAGCAATTCTTCCCTTTCCCCTCAGTACTCTCCTTTCTGTCTTAGGGTTCCATATTGCGCTGTAACGTCTCACAGAACTCACAAACTTATAAGGAAATGGCTCACATGGTGGTGGAGGCTGGGAGGCTGCAAGTCCCTAGTCCATGGGTAGGTCTGGAGGATTCTCTTCACTGTCATGGTTGCAGGGGCTGGTGAACCCTAATTGGCGGGTGAGATGACTGGCTGATGTCTGAAGTCCAGGGGTGAGATGATGACGAACCAAACACAGGACTGAAGCAAGAGCATGAACTTTGCCGGGACATTAACATATATATTCTCAAGGAAATTAAGGATGGTGACTTGAGGCACGCTGTCCAGCAAGGTGGGACTCAAGATACATCCCACCCTAAACAGGCATAGAGGCTTCTTGTTGTTAGGTGCCATCGAGTGGTTTCCGACTCATAGCGACCCCATGCACAGCAGAACGAAACACCGCCCAATCCCACGCCAGCCCCATGATCCTTGCTATACTTGAGCCCATTGTTACAGCCACCATGTCAATCCATCTTGTTGAAGGCCTTCCCCTCTTTCGTTGACCCTCCACCTTACCAAGCATGACATCCTTCTCCAG